GGGGGGGGGGGGGGGGGTGGAGAGCACGAAAGAACCTTTTTTTCTGAACCCAGACTGTGCCGATCGGCTGCGAAGCACCACAACGCAAGCAATCCTGCCCCCCTCAGCCCCTAACCCTGCTAGTTTGGCGCGCGGACTTAAGGGTTGTGAAACCCCAAAACCCTCCCGGTTTTCTCCGGGTTTTCCCCTCCTGGCCGCAGAAGGTGGCTGAGCTCAAGAGACTCCAGGTCGAAGTCCGACACAAACACCTCCGAACTTCCATTAGGGTTTAAGAGGTCTTGAACAAAAGGGTTTAGTGAGGCTTGTGGTTCAGGGCTTAGGTTTCTGAGGTCTTGAACGGGTTGTACGTGGACCTTGTAAAGAGCTGTGTGTTAGGCAACCCCATCAAACCTAAGAACAGGGAAACAGGGTGTGTCGTTTTCACCTCGTGCCAGGTGGTGGGCTCTCGATGGGTTAGCGACGCAGGACCGGGATGGCTTCATGATCTCGGAAGATTTTGGCATTGCAAGCTCCAACAGATGGATGTGATCCCAGTTGCTGTACGGACTCGTCACAGGATGTTGAGAGTGCTCCACTGTGCTCACTTCTGGAAGACCATGGTCTTGATATGTTATCGGACCCGTGAGAAACTTGATGACCCACCGTGCACTCACAGCTGTGTCCCGGCCTCCTCTTCCACTAGCGACTTGTTGGCTTGTAGACTGCACACTGGCAAGACATCGCTTTCCTTGCCGTCTTCAAATCCTGGGCTATGCTAGGCAGGATTAAGAGGCCCCCCATGTATGCTTATGAAGAGTAGATAGCCCAAAGAAAATCTTGAAGAGCTGCCTGGTGAGGGAAAACCCCGGCAAGACCATGCGGGAAATTCAACATAGGTTTTTTAAAACCTAAAACCTATGTTCCAAAAAAAACGTGTGCAAAAACGCATCCTCGGTTCTCACTTTTGCGAATTGATGCGTCGGCCGCCCGTCCCAAGCTACGACACCTGGGCGCCCGTTCACGCTGACGGGGTCGTTGACCTGCCGAGGACAGGGGTCCGGAATCATGGCAAACGGAAACTTAGCGCCTTTTGGTACATTCTTCAGTTTTGGGTTTAGGGCTCAGGGTTGAAGTATCAGTTGAAGTGCTTAGGCTTCTGCAAGTCTGTGCGAATTGCCAGCATGTCTCCATGAAACTTTCCACGTCCACCCCCGAAGCCACCAAAGCCTGCATCCTTGGCCTTCCCTTCTGAGTCCTACAAAGTTCACTTTCTCAAGCGGACAAAATAACACGGCACAAGATGCAAAAACCAAACAGGGGCCGCACGGTAGCGGAAATAACCAACTGTGCATGCTGCAAGTACTCCAGATGGCCCAAGAAGTGAAATGCCAAGTTGACACAAACGACTCTGGGCCCAGAGTCTTCCCAATTCTCTGGATCTTTCACAGAACTGCTTCCCTAGCCGTCTTCAGGCCTTTACTACAACTTGGTTCCGGATGTTTTTGGGCCCGGGGTTTGGGGCGAGGTGCTTAAGGTTTACAGAAGGTAAGCAAGATTTTGTTTTGGATTTTTAGATTTGGGCTTCGGATCTATGTCAAGTCGGGAAGAAAATTCCGACACAGTTACAGTCTCACCAAGCCGAGACGCAGAAAAGGACGCGCAGCTACCGGAACTGCCGTGCGCAGCGTCCAAATGACGGACCAGGAAGGGCCGCTCCTCTGTGGCGCAGATGGCAGTGATCCTGGCCTTAGCCCAGGGTTTTAGGGTTTAGGGTTTAGGGGTTTAGGGTTTCGACTCTCACACTCGCACGCAGCAGGCAAGGCTCATGGTTTAGGGTTTAGGGGTTTAGGGTTTAGGGTTTTTTCCAGGGTTTAGGGTTTAGGGTTGGCGAGCACTAGGATCTGAGACAACATGACAACCGCAAGAAACAACAAAAGCACAGAGCACGGGTTGCATCCTTCTACAGTAACTCCGGGAGTTTCGGAGAACTCAGGCAGCCTCCATATGGACCCAACTAGTGAACCAGCAAGCACCCTTACGAAAGGGCTCCGTGATTTCAAGAAAGGCCCCCATACAAACCCACGGCCCCGAACCCTAAACTCTCAACTAAACCTGGCTCATGTGCCGCGCGCGCCGGCTGCACGGAGCAATCCCACACCAGCTGGCCTCAGCAGTGATTTATGGCTTTTATCGTACCGAAAACAGTTATCGGATGCAATGGTTCACACACAAAAGCCGCATCTACTCCCTTATCGTACTGCACAAACATTATCCGAGGCAACTGTCCACGCAGAGAAACCGTACGTAGTACTCCATCGTATGCTTACTTCGTCAACCACCAAAATGGATGCGGTTATCCACTGTCAGTTCGATGGAGCCTCTGCAACAACACTTCAAGGCACGATGGGGGTGGTGCATCCCGGACGTGGCTCCTACAAGCACCAAACGGCATAAGAAAGAACAGGGAGCTGAGATCCTGGCCGACGCAGAGCTTTCTGCTGAGGGCCCTTCTCCTCAGGCGTCTGGCGTCCTCAAGGGCAGTTTGGGCTAGAAGGTAAGGGGTTCACCCGAAACAGTGGGGTTTCGGCGCTCACACTCGGACAATCCAGGAAACGGCATGTGAAACTGAAGCATCGAGATGAGGGAGTGTTCCGTGACTCCCACTCGCGTAAGCAGGTAAGGATTCACGGCAGCTTCAAGCCCAAGCTTAGGGTTTCAAAGGCTTCGAGATCTTCTGCTTAAGCTTTGGGGAACCAGAGGAGGGCATCCCTGCAAGCCCTGAGAGTTTGGTGGGATCCCCTGGCCTAAACCCTGGCCCTTAACATTTCTCCGGCTCCGTGGTGCGATGTGTTGATCCGATTTTGGATGGTTGGAGCCAAGCCTTCACACTGTTGAAACAGACCCCCATACTACCACTCTGGAAAAACCCTAAACTCCCCCTCTTAGACTCCTACCCCTTTGTTTTTTTCAGCACGAACACTAAGCTGCCAAACCCCAAATCCCAAACCACGAAAACCAAAACCTGCCCTCGAAGTCACTCGCCTCCTCGGGGGGAGCTGCTCTCTTGAAAGCCGTTCCTTGCCGGCTTCGCCCGTTTCCCCTGAGAGTCTCGGGTTCTGCGACCTCCTTCAGCATGGAGCTGTCGGAGAGGAACTCCTGCTCTGGAACTTCGGGTTTTGTGGGTTTTGGTTTCTTGGTTTCTAGGGTTTAGGGTAGGGCTTGGGGTTTTTAGGGTTCAGGTAGGGTTTAGTAGGGTTTAGTAGGGTTTAGGGTTTGGGGGGTTTGGCGGCGAAGGAGTCTGCGGAGTTCGAAGTTTAGTTTAGGCCGACTGCTACAGCCAGTGATTCATCTGAAGCACAAGGGGTTCGTGCTTAGGTGTTTTCTGTGGTTTGGAGCACTTGGAGTGGAGTCCCCTATCATGCCTTTGTCCAGGTCAGGAGGTGAATCAACTGTGGTGAGGAGGGGCCGCACGCTTCATGCAAGGCAAGAGTCAGCACCGTGCTGCATGAATTGGGCTTTACAACACTCGGCTCCCACGAAAATTTCAACGTGTGAAGACAAGCCGTTTATTCTGGGAACGGCCCCACAGCGTATATCGTGCTCACGGCAACGAAACAAGGTTTAGGGTTTAAGGTATCAGATGCTTTGAGAGAATCAAGCCGCAGTTCTCGCGGCAGAAGCCATCTTGACAAGAATTCTGCCAGTGGCGAACAGTGTGTGCAAGGAGGCTACCGCACAATGACAATGGCGCCCAGCCCAACGCCCTGAGACCTGGACCTAAACCGTCAGCCCTAAACCTCAAACTTAAACCCGAAACCCCGCACCCAAGAGAACTGAAACAACAAAAGCTAAACGAGAGTCCAAGGAGCCTCAAGCTTTGGAAGCTTGTCCCGTGAGCATCTCCTGGGGCAAAAATTCAGGATTTTGTCCGACCCCTATATTATCCTGGCCAACACAGCAATCCGAAAGCCACTCATAACTCTCAGGGCAGGGGGCCTGCGCAACTCCGACTCGCGGTAAACCGACCCAATCCGAAGGTTGAGGTTGAGGTGCAGATGGTTCTCGCAGCGGAAGAACCTCAAGAACAATTGCAACCGACAACTGGGCACTGGAGCACACAAGATGTGCTCTTAGCTGGGCGAACCGAAAGCTGGCAAAAATGCGGACGATCTCGGCTGTGGGTGTACACTGTAGCTGGCTGCTCCCGCCCCAAGCATGTTCCAGACTTGTCGCCAAAGACACATGGTCAAACCCCGGCGCCTCTCTGTCGCGCCCGGCGTGCCCGGCGAGCCCCTCGAGGCTATAGCAGGCTCTCCTTCCAGTGCGAGTCTCTCATCATCCATCTCATCCATCATCCATGTCATCGGCCACGCGATTGGGGACACACTGGCAGCCTGAAGTCCGAAGTTCCCTCAGCTTGTGCGAGCACGCCTTCCAAATCGCCTCCATCCGGCCCGCCAGCTGGTTCCTGGCTGCGCCCAGCTTCAAGTCAACATGCTGAGGGCGACCCAACCTCTCATGCCAAGCGCAAACTGCGATCACTGCCCAGAAGATGGGATAGTTCTCAAGACTGGGATTCACGAGAACGCCCTTCCTTAAACCCTGAACTTCGAAACCGTAAATTCTACCAAGCACGGTCTGAGAATGGCGCGCTGGACGTCTCATCTGGTGGTGTCGCCACGTTGGCCATGTCCTCTCGAGCTAATTTCTTCAAAGGCTTCCATGGGCCTCTTTCCCAAGCTTCTTCTGGTGGGCTTATTGGGTTTGAGGGCCCGGGGGAAATCGTTGATGTTGTTTTGCCTTCCTAATGTCAGAGCTTGACATCTCTTGCCAAGCATTGGCTGCCCCCAATCTTGGACAAGAGGATCGTGCCACCATCACGACTGGTAAACTGCATGACAGCACACAAAGCGATCGAATCTCTTCACTCCACTTCTCTTCTGACGAAAGACTACCTTTAAGGGCACAGCATCGTTTTTTGCACCCCTGAGAGGCGAAATGGCCTCGCCCTGTTTGCGCAGGCGCCCCATTCGCCGGCAAGGCGGGCGCAGAAGAAAAAGAGATGATGCTAACTGCTAACTGCTAACTAGCATGACTGATTAGGTCCTTAAGTACTGGGTGAGGGGTTCAAGCCTCTACATGTGCATGCCTCGGCCCTTTGTTTTGGCATTCAGTTCACAGCCTCTCGTGTGGTGCTGGGTTTAGGCTCGAACTCGGGATGTTTCGGAGCAAGGATTGAGGCTCTACGATACAATTACAGAACAAGCTCCGGACGGTGTGTCTACAACATCTGACATCGTGTTGCGGCTGCGGTGGGGCTTGGGGCGACCAATCTTGACAAAAGCATGTGGCGTGGCACCATGGGACATTGTTGAAGGCAGCTCCCTTTAACGTAGTCAAGTCGACGTGGTTTCAACCGACCCGTCAGGATGCAGCTGCTGTCACCCTGGTCCGCCAGCCTGCATCTTCGAAACTCCCACTGCCTCGGGGCAGCTGCGAATCAAGATGTAACTTTTAGAGCATCTAAGAGCAGCGGCTGACTTGGAATCCCAATCCGAAATCCCGGTCCATGAACTTGCCTTTTGTCACTTGCCCTAGACTCGAAGCCCAAGACCCCTAAATCCCACAGCAAGCTGGCTCGCTAGCAGCCTAAGCAACAATAAAGCTGCACCCCTACAGCACCAGGTACTTTGCCGAAGAACTTAAGATCACGGCAGCCCTGGGCCTTGAAAGTCCTTCCGGGCGTTAACCCTTGAACCCTACACCTTCAATCTCACATCCGAAACCCTAAATCTTAATCCCGCAATCCTGCTTCAACCTAGACACCCCCGAATCTTGAAACCTAAACCCTTTTTTGAGCAGGGGCTGCAGCGCACTTTGCCCGGAAAACCTAAACCCTAAACCCCAAGTCCCTATCCTCTACCCTAATCCCCAAGCAGCCCTAACCCAGGATCCTCTCAAAGCCAGCCTCCACAAAGCGACCGTTTTGGGAGCCGCGCGGCTCCCACCTCAATTCCGATCGCCGAGCCGAGGAAGGTCATTTTTAGAGACGGGTTTTCGACACTTAGTGACCTTACGGCTTAGGGTGTTAATTTTTTTTGGGGGCTGGGGTTTAGCAACATTTGGTGATTCGGGCTTAGGGGGCGCTTTCTGGGCATCAGAGCTTCTTTTTTCCCTCCTACGTAGCAAGGACGAGCCCTAGACCCTTAGGGTTTTACCTTTTTTTTGGTCCTTTGAGCTTCTACTTGGAGGCCCAGGGGACTTACTAAGTCGGTTATGAGTAGGGTTATAATTTAGGGTACTTATAACTCTACTTATAACCCACTTACTAAGTCCCCTGGGCCTCCAAGTAGTGTTTAGGTTTCGATCTGGTTAAGTGCTTCAGACTTTAGGAATATAAATTGGGAGCAGGCGGGATGTAGGGCCTTCGGCACTCGCTTCAAGAAAACCCATAGGCATGAGAAGAAGTTGCAGGAACCCAGCAGCCTGGGCGCACCTGACCCCATAGATCAACCGGTGTTCGGGGTTGAGTGGGGGGTCTGCCTAGTTTTGTAATGGCTTTCTTGTGTACAGGGTCATGCAGCTCCGAACAAGCGGCTTGTACCTTTCTTGACGCTGATACACCAAGCTTGGCCTCCTGAGTGCATCATCTTGAACATCATTGTGGCTCAGGAAGGTGTAGTGTACATGCAACAATACATGGGTACGGAAGGCACGTTTTGTTGGTCACCACCACTAAAACACTAGAATACTCCCCTTAAAGGAGCTCGCCACATCCTGAACAGCGGACCCCTCGAGGACCTCAAAAAGCTGCCTTTTGAGGCCGAGTCCTCGAAGCAGCTTCTCCCCACAGAGCCAAATACCCTTCAAAGGTTAGGTAGGGCTTCTTGCTACGATCCTCCAAATTACACAGGGGCTCCTTTTATGCATCTCAAAGTATTTTTCCGATATCCAACTTATCCTCAGACTCAGAGGCTCCAATTACATATAATTACATTGCATAGGGCTTCTTATTCTGATGTAGCTTAAGCAAGGGGGGTTGGGTTCGCTGGCTCTGAGACAGCGGCCACCACAGGTCGCAGGCTCCTGCGGACTCCGGACACAGAGGTCTTCTCTCAAAACACTCGTCCCTGTTGGAGCAGTTTGGGACGTTAGATCGGGGTTGCTGATGGCTTCTGAGCCCGTACCACCTGCAGGGCCATGCCAACTCGCGGGATCTTTCGAAGGTCCTTCCTGTCCTAGAGTTTCGAGCTTTGCGGCTTCAGTCTAGGGGGTTTCAACTCTCGCAACTCGGACACTCCAGGCGAGCGACTCAGTGCAAGCAACCTCTGCGCGAAACTACTCTCCCAACCGCATTGGGCTAAGCAGTGACACAGAGCCGATTGCCCACGTGCCGGGGCAACAGCCGTGAAACACCGCCGGCTCTTATCGAGCTTGAGCGACAGCCGCAGCTCGTGGAGGTTGCCGAGAGGTTTGAGCATCGGACCTCACAAAGTCAACCATTGCTGTCGTCCGGAGCATGTGGATGAGCATGTCCACAACATCGAGCCAGCGGCCAAGGGAAACTTCCTTCGCTACCTTCGTTTCGAGGCTGAACATCTTTCGAAGATGCTCCTGCAGAACCACGCGAACATTGCGTGACAAAGGACAGAGCGCCACATTCGTGAACCGCGCCGCGATTGTTGCCGAAGCCGACAGCCAGGGCTTCTGCTGGGTGTCGGTGACCATGCAGTCCACAACATCAGTCAATCCCTCCCACTCCGACTCCGAGTGGACGAATTCCACTCTGAAAGGCGCTGGCCGGCTTGGAGGGCCGTTGCCAATGAGAGACAGCTTGCCATCCTCACTGAGAGACAGCCATGTTCGAGCAGCAGAAGTCTGTGACAGCTGGACTCGTACCGGCACAAAATTGTCGGACGGCTTGAGTAGGGCGCGAGGGATTCGAACCGAATCTCCGTTCTGTTGGAGGGCCAACATGGGCAGGTCCTTAAGCACCGATCGGACCGACTCCTCCAAAACTTTGCAAAGATTCAGCGCCGCGTTCGTGTGCGTCGTCTGGTTTGTATGGCCTGTCTGGACAGGCTCAAAGCGGTGCTCCTTCGAAAACGAGCCCCTTTTCGTGACGAAGTGCGTTTGCAGGCTCAGATTCTGAATGGCCAGGCTCGCATCGGAGGAGCGTCTCGGATCCTCGAGCCACATCTTCGTCACTTCCTCGCGCGGCAGAACTCTGTTGTCATCCATACAATCACATGTGGCATTGCAGAGTCCGGGTGGGTCTGCGCATCCGTAGCCGGGGGGATAGTCCTCGGCTCTCTTCGGCCAGCCGCTACAAATATCCTTGCTTGCTTCAGACGGATCAAAGTCGTGGCCAATCTGAAGGAACTGGTCTTTCATGAGGGGTTTGCCATTGCGCCTGTACCGGCCCATGTTTGCCGGCGGCTCTGGCCTCGCTGAGCTCTCGTTTCGAGGGCGCTTCGACTTCATGGCTTCGGCAAGCTCCTTCTCGGCCTTCTGCTCCTGGTCGCGCTTGCGCTTGAACCACCGAGTCTTTTCGCGCAACCTCATGCCATCAAGGCTGGGCGGTATGCAGTCGTCAGGCTCCCAAGTCGAACCTGCTTCGACGGCACCATTCTCCACTTTTGAGAAATTCATTCCTGCCCAGGCTGTGCCCTTAGCGCTCTTCCACTGCACCTTATAGAAGTCTTGATAGAAGCCAGCATGCTCGTGGCACCAGGCCTCCCACGGGGGCATGTAGCCAGTGATGTCAGCGATGCTGAACAAGCCCGGCACTACCTCATCCTCGCTCCCTGCAGGAATCTCTACATCTTTCACCTCGGGCCGCCGATGGGTAAGGTGTGGGCCCTCTGCATCCAACCGTTTACCTGTGACGGAAATATTCAAGAGCTTCTTTTCGACCCAAAGGCTGCCCGAGATCCCGGACTTGTACTTCCTGCGCTCCTGGATCAAGAGATTGCGGCAACGGTCGTCAAACCAAGTGACACCTGCATTACTTTTCGCTTCAAGCTCTTGCAAGACAAGAAGGCCTTCGTACCAATTTAACAGGCGGGCCCTGGGCACCTCGTGTCTGCTGCCGTCCTCACGGGTGACCATTGCAACAGAGCCTTTCTGGTCCACCAAAATAGCCTTGGACAGTCTGTTCAGGCGCGCCCCAATCTTCCCGTCCACAAAGCACTCTTTGGCCATCACAAGATTGTTTTCGGGGGGTTCCTGCGGATGCTGGAAGGCAGCGTTTGCATCCACAGGATCCCAAATCCACACCTCTTTCATCTTGGCGGCGAGGTGGAAGACTCGCCGGGATGGCCGGCCGAGATGCAGGTATTGCTTCAACGATCGCTGGGCCGCAAGGGTTTCAAGGGTTTAAGGGCTTTAGGTTTCGGGATTTTGAAAACAGAGCGAAGCAAAAGGAGTGTGTCCCGTGTGTGCGAACTCTCGAGGATGCAAGTTCAATGGCTCAGTGCTACCTCAGGAATCTGAGCCTGTTCACGGGCACCGCAATCCCAAAACAACAAAAACAAAAGCCGATCTATACTAGAGGCGAGCATGAGAGCAGCTCAGCCGGGCCTGCTTCCTTTGAAATCACCTGCAGGGCCACAGCTTGGATTTAGAGTCTAGACTCCTAGACTTGAAGCTCCACGCGGACGGCTTCCAACGAAAGCAGGATTCAGAATGAAGGCATGGTCTCGGGCTACACTTTGGTCCCACAGCCTCGGCAATCACGTTGGGCAGCCCATCTCGCGCAAAGGAAACCAGACTCGGCAGGGCAAGAGCACTGACGGAAGTGTGTGAACCTGACTAAGGGCAACCCTGCAGGGCCTCATGCAGCTGACATCTCCACTACACCACCCTCTGTCTGACCCAATTGCAGCCAGCGGACACTGCACAGCACCGCCCTGAGCAGTGAGCTCGGAAATTTCAACCGCTACGGAGGCCTCAGAAGAAATGCTTGTAAAGTCTTGGAACTCCATCAAGCCCACAACGACACAGCATCACCAAAACAGCGAATATGATCATAATAAGATTGAAGCTGCTAAGCGAAAACTTGCAGCGCTTGAAACATGCTACGAACCACCACCGCAACAGCAATATCATGACCACCATTGACTCCATTGACCATGGTCAACAGCGTCGCCGTCACCGTCGTCATCGTCTTCGTCATCACCATCATCATCACCATCATCATCATCGCCATCTTCACTATCATCGTCGTCGCTGCTGACATGACAAGCACAAGCCCAGGTCCAGGGTTTGGGGTTCCAAACCCCAAGCCCCAAGCCTAAAACCTAAGCCCCGGCCCTAGGCCAGGGTCCTGGCCTTCCCACCGCGAGTTGGCTCCAAGCCCCCTCGGCCGCCGCCACATCGCTTCCGCGCGCCTGCCGGGGCGGCCGCGGGTTCTCATCCAAGCTTCGAGGTGCTGCAGGGCCCACTGTAGGGTGACTGTAAGACTGTAAGTTTAGAAGGGTGCCACAGCCACACAAAGAGCAGGGCTAGCGTAGATGATACTGTAGCGGTCTCTGTGAGGGTCCCGGCAAGGCGCTCGGGCATTTCTAGTCCCTGAGGCCCTGCTGCTCGAGGCGTTGGAAGCCTGCAGCCTACGCTTCCCAAAACCGGACTTGGAGGATCATGGGACTTCGCAACTGGGCTTCAAACTTCTAGGGAATGTAACTAGAGTAACTAGAGCAATACTATATGCTACTTGTAGCCCCAATTCAGGTACTTATAACCCGGCTTACTAAGCCGCATGATTCTCCAAGTAGGCCCTGCAGGAGACGACGTCGACTGAAATCGCATTCATGGAGCCAGCGCGCCTCGTCCGCGCCTGGGAAGGCAAAGCGAAACTGCGCACAGGAGTTGTCGGGCAGCCAACATGTTGCTGTTGTCCCATATCACCTTGTTTAAGCTTAGGGCTTCGGATTGAGGATGCCCTAAACCCTTTTTTGAACGAGGATACCCTTTTGAAACCGGACCTGATGACTGCCAGCATTGCCTTCTTAAACCCTAAACCCAGGACTTTTGGAGAGAAGCGACGTGCCCCCACGTAGGATCCCTCAGCCTCTCTCTGCTCCCAGGATCCCTGAAGATCCCTTTGAGCATTCCTTCTCTTAGGGTACTAGGAAAACGGAGACCCTTTTGTTTGTAAAGCAAGCACAAATCCGA